GATCGAGTCCCACATCGGGCTCCCTGCTCAGTGGGGAGTCTTCTTCTCCCTCTCCCTCTGCCCCTCACCCTTGCTCGTGCTCTCTCTCTCTCTCTCTCGATCTGCTCTCTCACTCAAATAAATAAAATCGTTAAAAAAATAAACACAGAGCTTCTAGGCTACTGGGGTATAATCTAAAATAAGAGAACCACAAAGAAATCTTAAATTGAATTTAATTTTCTTACTGCCCTCATTAAAATTTTATATTATTATTTTGAAATTTTATTATATATATATGTAAAGAAAATAAGAAATTATGTTATTATTTTGAGGAATCAAGATTTTGACAATAAAAGAAAACATACAAATCAAATCCCAAAAATTACATAGAACCTTGTAATTTTTCATTTGAACTGGAAATACCCAACTGAAATCATGATTTATTTTTTTTCCCAAAAATATGTATTTTTTAGGTCTATTAAAACACCTAGAAGCGATGATAACTCAATAAGAATGTGCGAATCTCACACTCAGATTCTGGGCTCTAAATGCCATTTCCTTCCAAAATGAACAAGGGCTCTTTGGAGAAATGGCACATCCCAGGTCTGGGCCAGAAAATGTAGAAGAGGAATCTAAAGTCAAAGAAGCTATTGTAGAATACTAGAGTTATGTTAGAAGGCTATGGGGGCTAACCTGTAGGTGCCCATCAACGATGGGTCCATTTGAGCACCCATGAGATTATAATATATTGATATGCATTTAGGAGTGGGATGCATCCTGTGGGAGGACCAGACATTAATGCTGGAATTTGGAAGCTATACAGGATGCTGAAAAGCTCATCTCTACTACCTGGAGCAGCTTCTCTGTTAGCAAGACTTGCTCCCAGACCTGCAACTGGACTGTGGTTGGCTCCAGAATGGAACAGAGTGGAGGGCATCCATGTGTCCAGCTGCAAAGAAATGGAGAAGCAGAGCTGCACCAAAGAAGAGACATACAATCCTATTCATATCTCTTGGTTGTCAGAAAACCTGCAGGTCTTAGATGTCTCCACTCCTTCTCACAGAAGCGTACCCCATAGTCCCACCACTAGGCACAATTCTTTAAGAATTCTTTCTCTCTCTGGCTCATGAGATGGGGGCCTACGTCCCCCTTTCCATCATGATAGTAAACTGCTTCTCAGGGTGCTGGTCTCCTTGATGTGCTGTCTCTGCTGCAGGATCCTTTCTCCCTCTGCATACTTGTCATCTCAGGAGGACCTTAAAGTAGTCCAGGGTGGAAGCCCCAACACCTTGCCATGAGTCAGCTGCTTCTTGTGACTTCTCCCTGCACTTGGCTTTGTCAGCTCCTGAGGAAAGCACAGTTTGTCCTTGCCATTATTTGGGAGCCTAGAACATGAGGAAGACCAGGGCCAGGCATAACTGCTGAAGCCAAGAGAGGGCGCGGTGCTGACTGAATCAGGCAGTGCAGGATGTACAGAGAGACTCAGCCCTTGCATTCAAGGAGTTTAGAATGACTGGTAAGGAGGGTCCATGAAAGTGAGATAACCTTCTGTGAGTGGCACAAGTAATAGCTGATTTGGAAGTCAGAGTGCTTAACACCCAGCGTACACTGAACCGTTTACTAACCCACTGATCAACAAAGAATGGTAAACATAACCAGGGATGGTGCAAAGAAAGATATTCTGGCATTCCTCATCCTGCACTTGTCATTCATTGCTTCTCAGTGTTCTCTGCATGGCTTCATTTCCCTCTTTTTCCTTCAGTCTAGCTCTGCAGTTCATTATCTTCTCTCTCCCTTGAGAGTCAAAGCACTCTGATGGTTTTGCCTATTGAGTCTATGTTAATGGAACGTGCCCAGCACCCCCCCTTTCCTAGACTCCTGCCCCATGTCTTGTGTTATCTATTTCTGACCTCATGGTCGAAGCCCAGCCTCCCTATGAGGCCCTTGACAACAGCTCCGCTTCTCTAACATTTTCTCCACTCCCCCTAACTGGACAGCCGCACGTGTAGGACAGTTGACTTGAGCGAGCCCTTCAGTTGTGTGCCGGTCTGTATTGTTTGTATGCCACCTTATGTCTGTTCATCTCATCTCACCATCTAGGCAGTTTACTCTTTGGGGCCAGGTTGGTTGGGGTTTTGCCTTCAGTGGAGGACCCCAGAGCACACCCTTGTTATGCAGTGATCGAGAGCCTGGAGGCTCAAGGGGGCCTTGCCGTGAAAAGGTTTGGAAGGATTCTAAGAAGTGCTGCAGAGAGTTGAGTGCCCGTGTTTGCATCGGGCAGTCATGTGGTTAAAATGGTGCTTGAGAGGGACTTTCTGGTGCACTGGGGAGCAGGGGAGGGGAGAGGAACAAGCCAGTGCCCCGGGGCCTCCCTGCAAGGCTGAGGCAGCTGTGAAGGGGCCCAGCAGTAGGCCGGCCTCTGGCTCTTCCTGGATTCCTGTCTTCATCTCACTCCTTTCTCCTCCCACCTCTCCCTAGGACTCAGCTCCACAGAGCTTCTTCATATCTCTGAGGCAGCTTTATAGCTTTTGAACCTGTTCCCATGGCCTGAAATTTCCCCACTCGCCTCTCCAAGTTACCTCTAGTTCATTTTTTAAAAAGATTTTATTTATTTATTAGAGAGAGAGAGCGCACGAACAGGGGGGAGGGACAGAGGGAGAGGGAGAAGCAGACTCCCCACTGAGCAGGGAGCCCGATGTGGGGCTCGATCCCAGGATCCCGGGATCATGACCTGAGCTGAAGGCAGACGCTTAACCAACTGAGCCACCCAGGCGCCCCACCTCTAGTTCATTCTTTTCTTTTTTTTTTTTTTTTAAAGATTTATTTATTTGAGAGAGCGAGAATGAGAGCGCGTACATGAGAGGGGAGAGGGTCAGAGGGAGAAGCAGGCTCCTCACTGAGCAGGGAGCCCGATGCGGGACTCGATCCTGGGACTCCGGGATCATGACCTGAGCCGAAGGCAGTCGCTTAACCAACTGAGCCACCCAGGTGCCCTAGTTCAATCTTCAGTGCTCAAGTTAAATACCAGTTTCATATAGGATTATTCCCTGGTACTCCAAACTAGGTTAGGTCCCCTTGTTGGACCAAAATAATTAATTTTGTAATTAGCTGTAATTAGTCCGTGCTGTAACAGAAGCTCCTTGCAGACAGACGTTTGCATGTTTTGTTCACGGCTCCCTCCCCCAGGCCAAACATAGCACCTGGCAAAGAATGTGTATTCAGCATGTACCTGTGAGAGGCTGAGTGAATAGGGAGGCAGCTTGGTTACTTCTGTGGTCCAGCTAACTATGTGGGGCTTTTACCTCTACCTTGCTCTGAGTGGATGCAATTTGATCTTGAAGAGATCTTCTGGGAGAATCAGCAGGCATTCCGAGGAACTGGTCCCGCTGACCCTCTATTTTTAGGCAGAGGGAGCTCATGTGTTCATATTTTCCAGGTGGAAAATGTTATACATAATCTCAAGTGCTATAAAATAATAATTACTTTTAAAAATTGTGGTGAAACACACATAACTTAAAATTTACCATTTTCATCATTTCTTTTCTTCTTTTTAAGATTTTATTTATTCGTTTGAGAGAAAGAGAGAGAGAGCACAAGCCAGGGGGTAGGGAGGTGTAGAGGAAGGGGGAGAAGTAGACTCCCTGCTGAGCAGGGAGCCCAATGGATCCCAGGACCCTGCGATCATGACCTGAGCCGAAGGCAGACACCTAACTGACTGAGCCACCCAGGCGCCCCAACCATCTTTATCATTTCTGAGTGTACGGTTCAGTAGTGTTAAGTATATTCACATGGTTGTGCAACCAATCTCCAGAATGTTTTCATCTTGCAAAACTGAAACTCTTGTGTTCCTTAAACAACAACTCCCTCTTCCCCTCTGCTGAGTCCCTGGTAATCACCGTGTTACTTTCCCTTCCTATGAATTTGATTACCATGGATCCGTCACGTAAGTGTAATCACACAGTACTTGGGGGCTTGTCACGACTGGCTTACTTCCCTTAGCATAATGTCCTCAAGATTCATCTGTGCTGTAGCATGTATCAAAATTTCCTTCCTTTTTAAGGCTGAATGATAGTTCATTGTGTGTGTATATATATATATATATATATATATATATGCGCCATATTTTGTTTATTCATTTTTGGATGGACACTTGGGTGGCTTCCGCCTCTTGCTATTGTGAATAATGCTGCTATGATCATGGGTGCACAAAAATCTCTTGGAGACCTTGCTTTCACTTCTTTTGGGTTGAAGTGGAATTGCTGGATCATATGGTTATCCTATTTTTAATTTTTGGAGGAACTGCCATACTGTTTTCCATAAATAATAACTGTTTAAAATAAAAATGTGACAACTTACCATATGGTAGCTCCTTCCCAGTAGTTACCTTACAAGATAATTCATTTATTCCAACAATCCTGCCATTGATGCTGGTGGCCCTAGATGTTTCTTCTAGAGATGTCTTTGGAGTTTCTAATGCTGACATAGGAGAGCAGAGATAATGGTTTATACTTTAGATTGTACTTTACAGTTTTTGCAGTGATTCTGTGGAAAATCACAGTTTATGCTGTACAGCAGGCATGCACACAGATGATTTCATTAAACTCTCCAACAGTTCTGAAGTAGGTCAGCCCCTGTCTGGTCTCTCCATGGTTAGTACTGCTCCTCCATCCAGCCTGCCATGCACTCTGATGACTCTGTAGACTACAGACGGCAACTTTTGGCTTCCATGCTGAAACAGTCTTCTACGCTCTTTGTTTCATGGTGATGATGGAATTCCTAAGCACGGGGTGTGTGAGACTCTTCAAGTGTTATCACTGTGCACGCACTGGAGTGCTCCACGTGTCTTATTCTGGAATGTGTATTCTTCCTGGAAGGCTCTGTGCTCCCATGTGGTATGCCTTCTGCCTGCTTTGTCTCAGGGTCCTTCAAGTTCTCATAGATGACCGCTTGCTCTGGAATGATCTCCTTGGCCTCTTACCCTCACCTCTCAGTCTGAGTTAGACACACCTCAGTGGACCAGGATGACGCGTTTCCTGCTCTGTCTTGTAGCTGTCTCCTCATCTCTCCTGACTTTGAACTCTGTGAATAGAGGGGCAGTGTTTTTTATCTCTGTGTTTGGCACAAGGTAATCACATATACATTTATGGGCTAAGTAGTGGTTTCCAGTGAGGACGTCAAGTCTGTACCCCCCGCAGGGACACTTGGCAATGTGTGGAGATGATTTGGGCTGCCACACTGGAGGGGCTGCTACTGATGCCTGGTGTGTCCAGGCCAGGGAAGCTTCCACATCCTCCGGGGCCAGGATAGCCCGCAGGACAGGGCATTACTCAGCCTGAGATGTCACTAGTACTGGGGTTGAGAAACTCTGGGCTAAAAGGATGAGGTGGGTCATTGTGGAATATCAGTGGGTGATGTCCGTGACTTCAGTGGCCCTCACTGCAGTGTGATAATAGCTACTCCTTAGGTTATAGTTCAGTAGGCAAAATGGTCCTAGATTGGGAAAGTCACTGCCCCCGAGAAGCATTGGCAGTTTTTGTAAGGAGCATTTGGAAGTTCATCTCGATGACTTTATCACAGTGGCATTTCAAGTAAATGTACCAATAGCATTTAAAGAGTGGGGGCCTGACATGCCCGACATATTGTGCAATGAGAAATTGCTGGACCTCAGATGCCAGTAGAACTTCCATTCGATTGAAAAACACCATTGCACAAGGAAGGAGCAGAAGCGCACTGGGCAGTCCCTGGTAGCTATGGGCTATGGAAGAATCAAACTGAAGACACTTGCCATTGGGTAGAAGGAAAGGATTCTGAGGCATACCAATGCCCAGTGTCTGCCTAGCATGCAAAAAAGTAGCCTGAGCAAGGGAAGGTATGCAAAATCTGCGGGTGGGCTTGGAGCCTGCGCAGGGATCCCTTCTAACTCAGCCTCTCACCTGGAGCTCTGAGCTCCCCCGCTTCTGTGATTCAGACAGCATTGCAGTTTCTGCGTGTTTGTGAAGCACAGGGCATAAAGAAAAGGTTTATAAATTCAATTCATTTTTGTCTTGCTATTCCCTTTAAAAAGCCATATTACTGACTGATTTTAATCTTTTCATATAATTGATGTTGAAGATTATTGCTTGAGAATTAAGAGATGTAATATTTTGATTCATTAAATTTAAATATTAACTGAAACACATTTGAAATTTCATGACACTAAACATTTTCTCTGTCATTTGGGTTTTGCGGGTACTTAAAAACTCAGAGGAATCTAAAATTCCTTATGAAAACTGAATGTGTAAGCTTAGATTTATCTATCAAATATAGAATTGATCAGGTATAGTTTATATTGCATTATTAAATCTCATTGTAAATTTGAAATCACACTTTTCTTTCTATTTGGAAACACACGGCATTGATAGTCAATGATATTCAAACTCACTATCCGTACAGATTCCTGGTTGAGCTTTATCACTGCATCGAGACTGACATCACTTTGCCTTCCGTGAGTTTACTGATTGGTTCATCCTGTTTAACTCAGTGAACATTAAATATGGAAATGAAGTGTCACCTCTTACTGTGACCATCTGAAATGGAAAAGACAACGTGCATCTAGATTTCTTGACTGGGCTAGGCATCCATTGACTGAGCCGTCCACCATAAATATTCTTTATGAGAAGAGGAGAGAGAGAAAGGAGTAGGCACTTGCAGGTGCCAGCTTTCTAAATGGTTTTCAAAGCATTCAGGCCCACAGAGATTCTCATTTTAATGCCCCTGCCTCAAATCTGCCTCTGCAATCTTTGGCTGTTTTTCCCTCTTACTGTTCTCCATAGCACTGCCTTGTCAATCCAAACATTTGCCACTTCTGTACCCAGCACACTGCCCTCGTGAAAGCTGCACACAAAGAAGGAGGCCCAGGAGCTCAGAGAAATCGGAGCGGATCTGATAAACAGGCAAGCAGACCCCAAAGCGGTCAAGTAGCAGGCCCGAGAGAACGTGTGACATTCTCCTTTTTGTGCCTCTTACTCAGCAAGATGGAGGCATGAGGAGGGCTGTCTTTTGAGAACCAGTCAGATTTCTCAATTCTACTCACCTCACCATTTTTCGGCAAGTATTTATTTGCAAGGGTGGCCTACTTCTGAGGGTACTGCTCGGAGGGCCCTCCCCACCTCCCCTGAAATTCTGTCAGGAGTTTGTGACACCAGCATGCCTTCTCACAGGTCTGCCTCCTGTACCTGGTATCCACAAGAATGTGGAGCTCATTCTGGTTTCAGGATAAAATCCTAAGTTCCAGATTTTCTGAGATAGTATTAAATGTGTTTTTTGTTCTTTTTTCAGAACGGAACTTTATGAAATAGGTAATGAATTGTTATTTAGGATGTGAAAACCGGTACATTCCTTCACGTGTAGAAGTGCGGAGAAATGACTGTGCTTCTCTATCTTGTGGCCTGATTTTCCCTCTTCCGAGGGAGTTATAGTTTACTTCAGTAGGACTCAAAAATCCTACCTGAATGAAGTCATTGGAACTAATGCCTTGACACAACACTCCACATGTGTCTATTGAATGAATGAGTGAATGAATGAATGAAGAATGGATGGTTGGACGGACAAAGCTCTTTTCTCCTAATTTGACAAAATGGATGAACAAGAGGGGGATCTCTCTTACCTCTGAAGCAGGTAAGACAGTTCAGTTGTTAAGTCTGCACCCTGTCTTTTTAGAATAACCTAGGATCTTCTAATAGTCGAGAGCTGGTTAGGCTTCCAGAAACATGAAGGAGGAGGTTCTACCCCAGATGGCACAGACACCCACACGGGGCAGTTCCTCACAGCCGGAGGGAATACAGCGGCACACGGCAGAACCATCTGAACACTCCTTGATGGCGGATCCCTGTCAGCGACAGCGTGTTATGTTTAGCGGGTTAACGCCTTATTCATTAGGCCACATACGCTGAGTAAAAACATTTTCTAAATTACTTGAAGCTTAACCTAACAGCAGGAAAATTCAATTTACTTTAACCACACTGATAGTTTTACGTTTCCCTGCCTTCTCTGATAGGATATTGAATACCATTGAACATTTTATTTGTACTCCTGGACATTATGTTTTTGTAGTGGTGTCCTCAGGGAATGACTGAAGCGTGTTTGTGTCTCAGAAAATGACCACACAAGTGACTTGCTTTTTCATAGGTTTTTTTTTTTTTTTGTACTTTCCCAACACTATTTACACAGTCATTTAGCATGTCTTGTTACATTATTGTGGTTACTTATACTCATTCCTCATTTCCCCTTCTAATTTCTGCTATGGGCTAGGATACCATTAGGCATATTATGTGCCATATAAATGAATTATGCCTACAGTAAGACCACAAAGCTTCCAAATGATGCTCTGAGTGACTACCCTTCCACTCAAGGTCATAACCTTTGTGCATAGACTTGGCAGTCCAGTAAGTAGCACCTCCTTTTTCTGAGCCACTCCAGGGAGACCGTAGTCAAGCAGAAGGAGTTCGGGTATCACCGTTATTGCAAATTAAGCTATTTGGAAATGTGTTATATCTGCGGGTAGGTGGGCTTCCCAATTGTGAGCCCTAGAGTCATGGAGCCTTACCTCGCTGGTCAGGGGCAGTGTGGGAAGCACTGAGCCTCTCTGACTTAGGAACCGTGGTGGAACCGCGCAGTACGGAGAGATGCCACCCAGACACAGATCTCCTCGATCAGGGCTTAGTTCTGAGACAGAAGGGATAGCATGCCCAGTTCCTGCTCCCCAAAACACTGGTCAGAAACCACTGAGGAAGGAGCCAGAAGCACAGAGGCCAGCATGTAGAGGGAACGGTTCCCTTTCCTGGAAACCACAGGAGTGGAGAGGAGTTTCTCTCTAACAGTGATGTGTTTTGACTGCCCAGAAGACATTTAACATTTTTTTCTTCTGAGTCCTTGGTTCTCTGTCAGGTCATGGAAGGGGCTAGGCAAGTAACTTCCAGGTGAGAGGAGGTACATGTTCTTACCAGCTTGGAAGTATGACTCACTTACGCTTTAGCTTCCTCATTTTTTTTTTTTTTAAGATGAAAAAAGCATTTCCCGAAGTCTTCTTCAAAATTAGTTTGTGAAAGTACATTGATGAGGTACCTTTATGAAATACACACTGATAAAGGTTGAATCCTCAAGAGTGCCCTTCTTTATGTCTGCACACAGAAACCCTCAGAAGTGGTTTATTCTCACTGGATACCAGCATTATCTGGTTAAGTCCTCACTTAGCCAGATTATCGATCTCTCCAGGCTACTCAAGAGATGGACAGTAATAACCCATTAACCTGAAGTGAAAAACCAGAGTGGTGTAAAATGGCACAGCTGCTATGGAAGACGGCATGGAGGTTCCTCAAAAAATTAAACATAGAATTGCTGTTTAATCCAGCAATTCCAGTTCTGGATATATATCCAAAAGGATTAAAAGCTGGGTCTTGAAGAGGTATTTGCACACTCATGTTCATAGCAGCACTATTCACAATAACCGAAGGGTGGAAATAATCCAAATGTCCATCAACAGATGAATGGATAAGCAAAATGTGTAATGAATGAATGCAATATTATTCAGCCTTATAAAGGAAAGAAATTCTGACCCATGCTACAATATGGCTGGACCCTGAGAACGTTATGCTAAGGGAAATAATCCAGTCAGTCACAAAAGGACAAATACTGTATGATTCCAATGATATGTCGTACCTAGAAGAGTCAAATTCATAGAGACAGAAAATAGAATGTGGGTTGCCAGTGGCTGGGGGAGGAGGAAATGGGGAGTTACTATTTAATGGGTATAAACTTTCAGTTTGGAAAGATGAAGAAGTTCCGCAGATGGATGGTACAGATGGTTGCACAACAATGTGAATGTACTAAATGCCACTGAACGGTACCCTTAAAAAAAACTAAGGTGGTAAGTTTTATGTTATATATATTTTACCACAATAAAATTTTTTAAAAAAAGAGTGGGTACACTCTCTGAGAGAGCCTGAGCTATGAACCTCAAGGAACAGAGGTGGGTTCCATCTGAGGGGACTGCAGATGGTATGGGTGTTCACGCAGACAGATTCTTCTAGATGGCGCCAAATCCCAAGAAATCCAGTTTTGTGAGACTGTGCAAATATATTTGTAATTGCTTAATTGGTAACAGCATGTTGTTTTTTTCATGAAATTTTGTCAGAAAAAGTTTGGTAAAATGAGTTATTATACCACTAGTTATCTTAATAATGTGTCAGAGAACAACATACAGCTTTTCTTTGGCCAAGGATATAATTTCGAAAAACTATTGCCTCCTATTATTAATTAGAATGTGTTAAAATGATAAGTTCATGGAAACAAAGAAAAAAACCTGTGATTTCCCTGAAACAAATAAACCTCTATTCAAAATCTGAATATACCTAATATGGGGGTGTGTGTGGAATCTGTGATATAAATTAAAAGAGAGCTAAAAGCTGCTCATCCATGACATATTTCTTCCTAAATCTTCCTCCTCTCCTCGCATTCATACTTATAAGGACAGAAAATCCTAGGAGCTGGGGATCGTTTGTTGACTGAGCATGATGATGTCAGCAGTAAAATGACCTTGAAAGTCATTTTCAGTGATGTCTCTGGAAATGTACAATTGGAGAAGCCTGAGCAGAGCTTAAGTACATGACATTAAAAAAGGGATATTTGGGAGGATTCTAGATTCTGTTTGCAGGGTCTTCTGAAGGGAGAGGTTTTAAAGGAGATCAGGGAATTTTGGGAGGAATAATGTGCCATCTCTAGCATGTTATAAAACTTTTCCTCTCTCCCTGGAAATTTTCAGTAAAATTGCTGTCTTTTGCTATGGCCTGGTGAGGTCTATGGGCTTTTGGGGATGTGACAGTGCCAGTGGTCCTTCATAAAGGAGACAAGGGCCTTTTCTCACCTGGTTGCAAACTAGATACTAAACTTCATTGTAATTTCTTGCCTTCTCTCTCTCTTTTTTTAAATTTATTTTATTTATATCTACCTTTTTTTATTATGTTATGTTAATCACCATACATTACATCATTAGTTTTGGATGTAGTGTTCCATGATTCATTGTTTGCGTATGACACCCAGTGCTCCACGCAGAACGTGCCCTCTTTAATACCCATCACCAGGCTAACCCATCCCCCCACCCTCCTCCCCTATAGAAGCCTCATTTTTTTTTTTTTTCAGAGTCCATCGTCTCTCATGGTTCATCTCCCCCTCCGATTTCCCCCCTTCATTCTTCCCCTCCTGCTGTCTTCTTCTTCTTCTTCTTTTATATATTGCATTATTTGTTTCATAGGTACAGGTCTGTGATTCAACAGTCTTGCACAATTCACAGCACTCACCATAGCGCATACCCTCCCCAATGTCTGTCACCCAGCCACCCCATCCCTCCCACCCCCCGACCACTCCAGTAACCCTCAGTTTGTTTCCTGAGATTAAGAATTCCTCATATCAGTGAGGTCATATGATACACGTCTTTCTCTGATTGACTTATTTCACTCAGCATAACACCCTCCAGTTCCATCCACGTCGTCTTGCCTTCTCTTAATTTCAACACTACCAAGCTGGTGCTACCTCCATATTTATGAGGGTGAACTGAAAAGTAATACCTCTTATTGTGGCAAGTCAGTTTCTTTCCAAATGAATTATCCCAATATCCATATTTAATCTTTCCTCTCTCACCTTCCCTAGCATTCTCTTCCCAATACCTGAGGGTTTTCCCCCATTTATTTCTACTATAATTTGAATGGAAGCTTCCTCATGGAAATGGAACCCCCAGTATTGCGTTAATCAGTGCTAGCTGCCACAGCAGGCAACCCCCCCAAATCTCAATGGTTTAATGAATCGAAGGATTAGTTCTCACTTCTAGGACATGTCTGTCTCAGGTCTGTAAGGGCCTTGTTCCAGTGTCACCCAGGTACCCAGGCTGAAGGAAGCTCTGTCATCTTGCAGATGGAATATCTTAAAAATGCAGCCTCTGATATTGCCAACTAAAGAGAAGAGTGAGATGGAGGAGGCACCCAGCTCCTAATTGTCTAGGCTTAGAAGTGACCCCAGCCACTGCTCCTCATAGTCCATTGGCCAAAAGTAGTCATGTGACCCCAGCCTGACTGCAAGGGAGGCTGGGAAATGCATGGGGCCACATGGAATATTTAGTGAGTACGAATTCTCTCTGTGGCCCCCGCTAATCAGAGTATTAGGAATCCCAATTATATTTAAAATTATAATTTAAACAACTTTTGAATATAATTTGTGTATGATAGGATGCTAATCTATTCTCTGGACATTTGCTGGCTTTTATTCTTCTTCAAACTCACTCTCTAGCTTTAGCCTGAAATTTTTAGACCTGAAATATATAGACATGTTAAGAAAAAGTGTTGGGGACTATTAGTGGCCCCATCACTCTTTCTCTTTTAGTTTCTCTCTGTATTGCTTGAAGTTCATCACAGCTTCTCCTCAGGAGGCATGTGTGTCAATGGGAAACTTAATCTGCTTCCAGGTAGGGAATCTGACTTTATTTCTCTCTCTCTCTCTCATATCTATCTATCTATCTATCTATCTATCTATCTATCTATCTATCTAATTTGTTTTATTTAATCAATCTTTCATTCACTTATTTATTAATTTATATTTATTAGTGGACCTTTATCCCATGAAGTAAAAGCAAGTCAGTAATGGTGAAAATTCTTCACTCCGGCTTTTACTTGTTGGTGACAGTTTTCTTTTTTCTTTATTTTTTTTGTTTGGCCATGTTGTTTTTGGAATGGTCTTACCTCGATGATGGATTATCATGGGGCCATGATGGGAGCAGACTTGGGCTGGGCTATGTTGTTCACAGGCCCAGCAGGTTCAGGTTGAAGGAGGGACTGCACCTATCACTGGATTTCTTGAGATCCTTTAGTGAGGTGCATTGATAAAAGGGTCTTGCTTTTTATCGAGGCTGTCCTTCATATCATCTTGAGACCCTGGGATCTATTTCAATCTCCAAAGATAAGAATTTAGTTTAGGAAGGACTAGAGAACTTGCACTCGTCCATGGTCCCGGAAGAGAACTAGGAAGGTGTGTGGGGGATCCTACAGAGTACAACAGTTTCATGGACGCTAGTGATTCTTTTTGTTTCTTGAGGGGCTTGGACAGAATTGAACTGACCTTCACCATGACCTCCATGTTCAGATCCTTTTACACTAATGTAACTATCTTCCTTTTAGAAGCAGTGTGCCCTTTTGTGGCCCCTTGCCTACATCAAACCACTAGGGAAATACATGTCCTGATGGTGTTAACCCAACAGGAGAGTGGGGAAAGAAGGAACGAAGGAAGAAGGAAGGAAGGAAGGAAGGAAGGAAGGAAGGAAGGAAGGAAGGAAGGAAGGA